AAATGGCTACAATATGCAATGGTTCAACACTAACAATTTGTAAATGGTTCAACTAATCATCTACAATCCATCTTGAAAATGCAATGGTTCAACACTAACGAATGCATCAGCATCTGTTGACCCATCGCTGGACATAGGGGAATCCCAGCCGAGGTAGCTGGTGCCCCAGCTTGTTCACGAAGTTTGTTTAGAACATATGTAACTAGCTAGTTGGTGGTTTCAACCATCTTGAAAAATGATGGACTTCGTCAATGGGAAGGATGACATCCCATATATGAAATGGAACATAAAATTCATGTTCTAAACCACCAACCAGCTAGGGCTTATGGATGTGAAAAAAGGTATATAGATAATAAAGGAAGATAATAAAGGTAGATAATTGGATACAATTGGAAGATATATCTATCCATCCCTAATGTACTAATGGGGTATATAAAACAAGGGAGAACTGGAGGGAACCACGTTGTAGAGAATTCAATTTCACTATAGTTGTTTGGACCACCTTGCATATCAACTGGCAAACGCACCAACTATGGCTATGACACAGACATGGTAAAGACTGAGGAAGGGAGCACATATGGACAACAGGTTCTGAGATTCCAGGCCCAATTTCGCAATGATAGATAGATCTGATTTAAGCAGTGTAATCATTGAAACATTTAAAATGCCCTGCATGTGTAGCTGTGCATGTGCATGATGAAAAACAGCTCTCAATAAGTCATAGAGGGTCAAATCCTCTTGCCACTGCGACTCTTCAAACAAGTACAGAATTAACTGAACCTTTTTTCCAGCTCCACTCGGCTGGCGATGATCCAGTCGTCCAATCCGTATCCGAGACATGGATTCAACCATGTGGTTAATAAATTAGGTGGGTACTGCCCCAATAGTCAAAACATAACCTGATACTTAAATGGTAGCCCCTTCAATTAAACAGCCATAGGCGGTTATTAATCCAGGGTTTACCTTATCCCAAATGGCAATTGCATAATTAACGCTAAATTGTGATGAGAAGATAAACCGACACTATAGAGATACGGGCAGAGATCTTCAGTTGCTATATGTTGGATTTTTTTGGCGTTCAACCAAATGTTGGGCCGTTTTTTAAGTGAGTCGTCCAAGTTCGCAGCCTATCTTGTCCAGGGTGGTTTATCCTATTCAGGTCTATTTGGTAAAATTGGGATATTCTAGACACATGAGTGCAACCAACAGTTGAGATACCCTCTTGTAAACCAAGATAGATTGTGGAAAACCCACTATTTGCCAATCATTTTCCTCGGGAAACCATTGCTTGTTTTTCCTAGGCACATTGTATCCACAGTCGCACCATATCTATGGACCTTTGGATCATCCCAGAAAAGTCTGCCGGACCCTACGACCCTACACGAGCGAGGGGGCCTTGAAAACGACGCGGCGGACAGATGCGGATGCTGCGCTGGTTCTGCAGTGAACGTTTGTCAAGATCTACAGTACGTTGGGTGGTGCCCTTACTTCGAAAAGTTGGTGTGTAACTAATATACCGCAACAGACAAGGATTTGGGGATTCGGACAGTTATGGTAGATACAGGTAGATACTCAAAACTGGGGGCGGGCACCGGAGCATCTCACGTTCATTTTGTACCGAAAAACCATGTTTTTTTTATAGAACATGAGATAGCTATTTAACATCTCACATTAGAATATTGATATAATGGTACCTCAATGTACCTCATATCAAATCATCGCCATGTCTTCCCGTTGTAGCACCTCAAACCATAGCAGTTGCTGACAAGAGATGCAACGAATTGGGCACCCCAGGCCCCAACCCCCCCCCCAGATTTGACATCTTTATGGGTGGTTTAACCGTTTAACTTTTAACCATCAAAAAAACATGGGTGGTTTATTATTGCTTTGCCAACAATTTCGATATCTGTTTTGTAACTATTCAACACATTTCAAAACGATTTCCAACATTTTCACACAGCTAGCTGGCTAGCTTGCTAAATTGCATGAGATCAAATTTCGAACCAGCAGCTGCGGGCTATAGGCTATACATGGACACCAAGCGAAGCCATTGCGAGAGAACACTCACCAGAATAACGCTGGCCAGTTCTGCTGATTTTTGTTCCAACTGTTCTTCCAAGTGACTTAACTTAGAATATCTTAGAATCCATGGCCCATCATTGCAGGGTGATCTTGCTTACTCTGGACCTCAACCCTGGAGAAAAGATAAGAACAGTTCTGAACTCAGCAGATCAACTAGCGACAACTCGGAACAAATGGGGAGAACGACCTCAGAGATTTCTGCCGACATCAGAACGCCTAGTAGTTTGACTGTGGGACGTGTCACCGTGGCAACAACAGCCCCGTGAGATACCACGAGCTGGACGCGGTCGTCTCACTCGACTTGTTGTCGTTTCAAGCTGAGTCGGATCATCTTGAAACAACAAGAGAGTTACGGGTTTCACAACGAAAAACAATATAGGAATAAGCAAATATAAGTCCCTCACGGAAACCCTGAGTAGTGGATATGGTTAAGTTATTTTTGCGTCCTCTATGCGAGGTATTTGCTATGATCGGGTGGATGGGATGTTCGTAGCTAATGTGGTAAACCCAAATTAGAGGACGCTTTATTATTGGGGGTTTACCATTGACCTCGTGAAATCTACAGCGATCACCACGTCTGCATACCAGGCGCTCCATGTCGAAATGGTGCAAATCATCCGCGGGGTTTGGGCTGGATTTGATCCACCAAAAGTTTGACAGCTGATCACAGCGAAAATCACAAGCATTCCCATAGATGCTTCATGTATATCCAGATGCTATATACAGTCTACATATGTCTACATCATTTCATTTGGGACATGTTTACGGTAAATGCTGGTAGATATACCATATCTGTAGCGTTTGGAATTTGCAATTTTACAACCTTCACTCGGCAACATCCAGCAGCTATTGAACATCACTATTGGGCAGATTTCATGCTACCTTGAGCTCTGTGTCTCAGCCCTATCGCAATGACTCTTAATGAGGAGCCACACACAAAAACACACACATTGCCAACCTCTTTGAATACCCACGGGGAACGATGATGAACGATACACGTTTGAAAACCTAGTGACGGCCGGGCAGCACCGCGCCGGATATTCCGTCGCGGTAATGTGCTCTGCCAATAGCTCGTCAGCTCGTCCTGGAAATTGTGATTCTTGGATACACCCATTAAACATCCCCAAACTGGATATGTTGTTTTTTTAATATCTGGCTGAATTTGATGTTTCACCAACCTGAAATAAAGTCTTTTGGAGGGTTCCCTAAACTAACCATCATTTACAGTGAGGTCGCAGTGAGGTCGTTGTAATCTATCCAGATATATCTATATAGACTAGAATCAGATTGATCCGTTTATGGTTTTTGAATGTTTTTGATATACTGTAAACTTAAGAAACTTCATATAATGTGTATATATATACATATAAATATATCATAATATATTCATCATGATTCATCACTTTTCCAACCAAGGTTTAGTGGCCAAAATAATGGGATTTAAATGGCCAGAAACAGCTTTCTGCAAGATGAAATGAATGGATTTCGCTCTTTTTTTCCCAATGTTCAACAGATTATATGGTTCCGTCGAGAACACAATAAATCCGTTTAAGAAATGTTATATGATAGAAATTATCAGAAATTCTGGGAACAGAAGCAACGAACACGAAGATATTGACCAATGGTGGAACCCCTGGTGCCATCTGCATGACTTGTCGGAAATAGGTCGCATGACTTGTCCCCATATATATATATGTATATATATATATATCTATTTGGGGGTTTCCATAAATGGGGGTTGCCCCAATAGCTGGATGGTTTATAGAGAAAATCCTATTAAAAATGGCTGATTTAGTGGTACCCCCATTTATGGAACCCCCCATGTGCATGTCTTTGGATTTTCTTGGCTCACTTAAATGTCTTAAGCCCTCTTCATTGATAATGTGATTATACCTTCCAACTAAGACTAGAAATCGCCAAAGAAAACGTGAAAACTGGGTCTTGCCGGTCTTCGTGTTGGATCATTTAAAATTTAAAAGGGGTCCCAAACATCCGGGGTAATACGGATCCATATGGATTGATGGAAATAAACCCATGATTTTTAATCTCACCATGTAACATGGACAACCATCAAAAAACACATCAAAACCTCTGGTGATGATAACGCCATTGAGATATTGTGTGTCAGTGTGTGTTTTTTTTTTATATCACCATGTTATGGACAGCCATGGACAGCTCCCCACCATGTCTCACCCACCTTGAGCAGCGCCAGGCAGCGACGTTCGACTGGACGAGAACTGAGAAGTCACTGGGAGGTTACCAACGAATATGGCGGATTTCAACGAAATTCAACAACCAAAATTGGTGATCTACATGGATTACCGTGACAATACCATGACAATTCCATTACAATATAGGAGTTAACCAACAAAAGTTGACATTCATCAGATTCTTTTAAGGGCATGTCTACAGGGACATCATGTGTGTGTGTGTGTTCAATTCTCGATGTGGTCATGGATTGTGTCCTTCAATTCTTAGATCACAATGGGATCCATGGAAAGTGGGCTTCGTAACCTCCTCCAGAACTGAATCGTAGATGAAACTGGTTGGTGGCTTCAACCCATCCCAACAATGTGCTGGTCAATTTGGATCATCATGAGAAACAGAGTAGAACATAAACAACGTTTGAAACCACCAACCAGTAATTATGTAGATAAATCTGATCGGATATGATGGGATAATAATCATGGTATATTAATCCCCGTTCAGATTTGGCCCGAGGGGTTGGGAGCCCCATTTTGTAGCTACAGAACGGCGTCACCAAGGTGCCCTTCTTACAAGTTGGCAGAACCCAACGTTCACCGAGGAAGGTTTTTGTTACAAAATGGCAGTCCAAGCTGACCCCTAGTTACAAAATGAGTCACCGATTTTGCTCGACTCGCATCCGCTCGCATCCGTTGGCTCGATTTGCCCTTTACAGAATGGTGGGGACTGGGGGTGGCTATACTCGCACTATCCTAGGATCCCTGGGAAGTAACCTGCAACAGCCCGGCCAACCTGAGTCGCGGTTCATTTTTTCCGTTCTTTTGCGTTCATCCGTCTGTTTTGGCGTGACACTGTCTGAGTGGCCAAGCTAAACATTAAATACAACGTTGGATGTAATAATCAAAAAATATATAAATATCGATATATATATATATATATATCGATATATATATTTATATTTATATTATCTGACCCCTAGTTACAAAATGAGTCACCGATTTTGCTCGACTCGCATCCGCTCGCATCCGTTGGCTCGATTTGCCCTTTACAGAATGGTGGGGACTGGGGGTGGCTATACTCGCACTATCCTAGGATCCCTGGGAAGTAACCTGCAACAGCCCGGCCAACCCGAGTCGCGGTTCATTTTTTCCGTTCTTTTGCGTTCATCCGTCTGTTTTGGCGTGACGCTGTCTGAGTGGCCAAGCTAAACATTAAATACAACGTTGGATGTCATACTCAAAAAATATAAATATATCGATATATATATATATGTATATATATATATATATTATCTGACCCCTAGTTACAAAATGAGTCACCGATTTTGCTCGACTCGCATCCGCTCGCATCCATTGGCTCGATTTGCCCTTTACAGAATGGTGGGGACTGGGGTGGCTATACTCGCACTATCCTAGGATCCCTGGGAAGTAACCTGCAACAGCCCGGCCAACCCGAGTCGCGGTTCATTTTTTCCGTTCTTTTGCGTTCATCCGTCTGTTTTGGCGTGGCGCTGTCTGAGTGGCCAAGCTAAACATTAAATACAACGTTGGATGTCATAATCAAAAAATATAAATATCGATATATATATATATAATCTGACCCCTAGTTACAAAATGAGTCACCGATTTTGCTCGACTCGCATCCGCTCGCATCCGTTGGCTCGATTTGCCCTTTACAGAATGGTGGGACAGCAAAAGGTTGACATGGGGTGCCTGGGCTAATTGTTGCTGAGCCTCGCAAGTCGCGACTGATGTTCAATTTGTTCACGTTGGCATCAATAAAGTGCACTTATCAGACTGCATTGGAACTTGATGCATTCAATATACACTCTTATTTGAGATCTCCTAGGCTATGAAAATTATTCTGTGATTTTTTGATTCCATCCAGTTTGTAGGGGCTATAGTTGAGTATTATCCATTTACGCTTTGAATCCATCCAATTTGTAGTGGTTATTGATTAGCCCTGCAGACTCTGACAGAATGGTCGGGACTGGAGGGTAACAAACTCGCACTTCCAATGCAAAATTCCGGTACCAGGGGGGGGTCCACTTACAAGATGGCAGAACCCAGGGTCAAAATTTTGCACAAAATGGTAGCCAAAAACCATTCTGTAACGGCCCTGAGGCCTCAGATTTAGTAACAAAAAATTCAACGGGTATGTATATTAATATATCTTATGTATACGTGTTTGTTTTCAATATCCTGCACGAAACGAGTTGAATCTTATGTTGATTTTTCTGGACGGGAGAAGCATGCAAGCAGGCGGTGTCTCACAAAAAACCTCCTGACCGCCCTAGGTGCAGTTAAAAGTGTAGAGCGGCCGTGACGTGTCCTCTCCTGTTCATGGCTATTTGATCTTCTGATCGCTTCAACTGGGCCATCCGGTGACCTGCGTCTTGCACGTCTCGACGGGGCCCCTGTTATTCCCGGATCTGGTCTTTCTGGCTTCGTGGCTATTCCATATTCTTTCATCCCCACCGTACCTACACAGAGGCGTGTTTGTCTCCAAAATCGTCCATGGCACGGGGATCTGCTCCCCACAACGTTATTGTACATGTATGCTCTATTTGGTGTTCCTTTGCTTCAGAAGTTTTTCCTACTGTGGATATTCCATTACACCTGGCTGTGACTGACCGCAAGATTGTCTGTGTGAATGCGTCTTCGCTCGTTTAAAAGTTTCTTTGCGCCGCAGGAGAAAGGGATGCCAGCTTTGGAACACGATCGATGTTTGTCTCCAAAACCTGCAAGAATGGGTTTTCCCCGACTCTGCAAAAAGCCGCCGTGTCTGTGCTGACGTGGATAGACTTGTTTGTATATTTGCAATGGCCCGGGGTGCTTTGTGGTTACAACACAACCCGTCCCACAAACATGCGGTTGCCGTTCTGCGTTTGCTACCCCCACATTTGGCCAAAGTCTTCTCTTTGCCTTTTCACAAAGATGATGGTGCTATTGATGCTTTTCTGGCCTTGCAAAAGTCTGCCATTTTTTCTCAGGGTGATCGACATTGTTACCTGTATCAATGGTTTTGCGAACATTTTCGGTACACTGGTATTGCCTCGAATTTTCGTGAAAGTTCGCAAGCTTGCTCTGGCCTTGTTCAGCGGTACTTAGAGCACCTCCTTGGCACAGTCCGCCCTCATGTTTCAGGCTCTAGCAAGTTCAGATATCGCTTGGCCAGAAGGTTTTCTCCAAGCACCTTTGGGTTACTGGCTATTTGTCTTGGGGAAAAAACATGGATCCAAGCTGTGGAGTGGCACGATATCGTCACCACCCGGCCAAATGCAAATGGTTTTCGGCCCCGTAAGCGTGTCAAAAACACTGTCAGGTTTCGTCCTTTTCCGGAGCAACGATGCATGGCCGAGCGCCAGGACAGCAAAGGTCACCAGGACCTTCTCCAATACAGACTGAACAGGCTCGAGTCGTCTTTTTCCAGCCGAGCAATATGCAACAACGCGCCTTAAGACAGCATTCCCACATTTTGCTTATGCCTTTTGGAAGAGCGTATGCATGGAGACTTCGACAGCTTTTTGCACTCCATGCAACTTTTGGCCCACTGAACATTTACGCCCGTGAAGAAAGTGACCTCTTGGCTCTTTGGTTCGCTTGCAGATCACCTGCAGTTTCTTGGCCTTCTTTGCAACGATCATGGAATATGCCTTTTTTGCTTCCTGCTTTGAGCTCTTTGCGGCTGAAACTTCCTAAGCAGGGCCAGCGCGGGATGTTTACTCGCCGTATCCGTGCATATTTGCAATGGAATGGTCTCCCTACTTCAAAACTACGGTTCTCTGCCTTGGATGCTCCGTCTGTTGGCTTTGTCAAAAGAATGGTTTACAAGGTTTTGGATGGTGCACAAGGATGGTCTGCAGCCGAAAAGCGTTGGTTGAAGTCGCAGGTGTGTGTCACTCAGGGACGGAGGTTAACTTTCAAAAATTCGTGGAACCACCAAAAAGTTGCAGAAGGTGCGCATTTGGAACAAATCAGATCGGCACCCAGGCGTGTATTGTCTCAGATTTTGAATGGAACAGGCTTCCTTAGGCCCTCAAAAAACTGGGATGTCGCTCGTCGTTTCTCCCTCTGTGAGTGCAAGTCTCGTGTTACTGCAGCTATTCGGTCTGGGTTTGCTGATGCTGGTGTCAACATGCGGTTCTTGCCCAGTATTCCTGATGTGGTTGATGTACATGCGTCTTCACATGCTGCGTTCTTGATCGAAGCACAGCGTTTGCAACAAACGGACCATGTCTACAAGTCTTACACAAAAGACTTGGAACATCACCTGAAGCGTTCCGCAGTTGTGCCTGATGACAAGTCAAAGCGTACTGCTTGGGTGTTGTCCCGGTTTGCATATCAAGTCTTGTGCCTGGTTTTTGTTGTTTTCTCCTCTTCTTGGTCTTTTGTGTTCTTTTCCCGTCGGACAGCAAACGAACTATTGCTTGAGCGAATGAAATCTGTTGTACCTCGTCATGTTGCTGACCATCTCGGCTTGTTGAGCAACCCATGGGTTTTACCATACTGCTATGTCACTATTAAAGAAAAGTGCTGGTGGAATGGAACGTTGGCTGCCAGTGTTTGTTCGAAGTGGGGTCACAGCTGTGTGCGCAAAATATGTGCTTATGCCGCGTGGCCAAAGAAGCATGCATGGCGCTTGTACAACAAGAGTCTTGTCTTCTTGTCTAAGACCTTTGCTCCTGGGTTTGCAACTTGGGGTCTGTTCGATGCATCGCATCGCTTGTTTACTGGGATAAGAAAGTTGAGCAGGCCACGGAGTTCTGTGCCCAGGTGCTGCATTCGGTGTCATGGGAGCTGTCCAGGGCTTAACGTCATCGTCGCTGATGCTGGTCAGTTTTTCGAAGAGGTAAAGTCGGAAACTGCATGTCGGGCTGCGTGTTCTTTGGTTCTCCAGGCAAAGCAGAAGGGGTGGCGTACCGTGGGTCTTTGCCGAAAAAAGAAGACAAAACCCTTTTTGTCTACCGCTTCGTCTGCACTGCGTGGTCGTATACGGTTCCTTGAAATTGATGACATTTTCCAGGTGTTTGTTTCTGCTATGTCTGTATCCATGGTATCCATTGGGCATGCAGTAGCAAGCATGACTGGACTCCCAATCGGAGGCTTGTTGTCACAGGCAGCTGCGTCAACAGTGTTGGGGCGCGAGGAGGAGGTTTGGCTTCGGTCCCATCATTACCGCCGTTTGCAAGGGTATCAATCCGTTCAGAACGATTGGGCTTGCACTTGTCTTCAACTCCGCTATGTGGATGATGTAATCTTTGCTTCATATGTTTTTTGCAGGGGATGTTTGATAGATATGATCCCCCTGATTTATGTTGAAAAATTTGACGTGAGTCCAGAAAGCGATGAGCAGTGCTGGCTGGACATGGTGATTGATCTTACAACTGGCTTGATTCGCCCAAAGGCTTTTTCCATCACATTGCCACCGCAATGGGGAGTTCAACGGCAATTTTTGAGACCTATTGTGATCAACGTAATTGCCAGGACTTTGGCCACATCATCCAACACAACTTTGGCCCATGTGCACTTGTCGTCATGGCTTTTGAATGTTTTAAAAGCTGGGTGGAGTTTGCGGGCAGTGTCTTCAGCATTGCACACAATACACAAAAAGCCTTTTGCCCCTACCTTGCGATTTTTGAAGCGGCTCATTAGGTCCCCAAGTTTCAAAGAACTACTATAGAAGCAGCAATGGTTGCAGCTGTGGGCTTGCGCTTGGCAGCCTTGCTTTGCGTCCTATGGGTCCAATCAGCCACTGCCGGATGGGGCAAAGGCGGCAAGGGCAATTGGGGCTCAAAGGACTGGCATGGTGGCCGGTGGGGCCATGGCAAGCACCAGTGGCAGGGACAAGTGAACTCTCAGTCTGGCATCGAAACGGGGCTCGCAATCGCTCAGTTCTTGGATGAAAAAAAGCGCCGGAAGTCTCGCCGCAGAGATTCGTCTTCCGACTCCTCAGCTGGTTCCTCACCGCAGCATCGGCGCAAGGACCGAAAAAAGCAACCTGCAAAGGGAAAAGTCAACCAAGAGCTGGAAGAACTCCGGGCATTCCGTGATGCTGCCATGAAAGAGAAAGCAGAAGCTGAACAAGCCAAAAAACTGATGGAACTCGAACAGAAGCTGCGAGCTGAGCTTCTGGCTGTGGCAACTCCACAAGCTGTGAAGCCAGACAGTGCCCGTGCCATTTCGCAAGTCAAGTTATCAGGACTCCAGAAGAAGCTTGCCCAGAAGGTTCTGACTGACCACGTGGATGAGTCTGCCTTTGAATCTTGGGACGTTTTGTCCCGTGCCGTCCAAGATTGTGAAAGCCGAGTATTGGGCACCATTTTGAAGGATGAGTCGTTGGCAACACCTCGGTCCCACAAAGATCGTGCTAGCGCAGTGCTCCATCACCTGCAAGATGTTCTGGAAATTGAGAATTGAGTGCGGGCGGCTGACATTCCTTTTCCAGTGAGTGGGTTTCCCCACCCAGCACGACATTTGGGAGGAACTTGTCTTGTGATTTGCTGTTTGATCATTTGGATTTGCATACCGTCAGCAGCCAACCCAGTTGCTGTAATGTGGCCTTGGCCCCTGCAGTCTGCCAAAGAATATTGGCAGGCGATGAATGTGTTGGCTAGAGATGATTTGGGATTTGGTTTTGTGCTTGACAAAACTTTTGGCATTCCTTTAAAACCTGTGGCCTGCACAGCCTTGGCATTCACGTATTCTGGTTTGGCTTCGGCCGTTGGCAGATTTGTGCATCTTCAGACCAGCATTTCGAACTCGTAATTTGACTGGTTTCAGCTTCCTTCAATTCGAAATTTATGAAATCAACATTTAATTATCAATTGATCATCGCATTTGTGCTTCCGAGCCTGCACGTGTGATTTCGTGGCTTCCATTGCCCTGTTTGATTTGTGTTGTTGCTCAAAGCACCTGGGTCCAGATTTTTCTGGACGGGAGAAGCATGCAAGCAGGCGGTGTCTCACAAAAAACCTCCTGACCGCCCTAGGTGCAGTTAAAAGTGTAGAGCGGCCGTGACGTGTCCTCTCCTGTTCATGGCTATTTGATCTTCTGATCGCTAGCCATGTTTTGCTTCAGGTAATATCATCCCAATACCGTATCTTTTCCAATTTATGGCGAAAACCCAAGAACCAAACTACCCTTCACATCCCTTCACCATGTTTCCCGAAATATGTTCGACCTCCATCAACCCTCCCCTGGGACTGTTGGCATCGGTTGGTCTTGGTGAGAAATGAAATAACATGATTCAAAGTCCAAAGCAAACAAAAGCAATATTTGCATCTTTTGATAGGCCTCTAAAAAGCCAATAAACCAAATTCGAGTGTCATCCCAGCACACCTGATAAGAACCAGGGGGTTTGTTTGTCCCAAACAGTTGCGGGCTGCTATTGGATGACAACAATCCTTCAGACACGGCCAACTCCTACATATGTCAAACCAAACCCTCCAAAAACACTGGGGAGATCCCTTAAAGAACTACCCTATCCCTATACCCATCCCTGTAGCCTCTAGCCACATTGATTTTGCCCTGGTGGGCACCCCATCTGCCTGCTGTCAAGTCTCTGTACCAGTGAAAATTTTGACTCTTAAACTCGACAGCCGTTGTAGTACCTGAATCCGGGCTGGTGATCTATGCCACATTTGAAGCACACTGGGGCAGTGGATCATTGCCAAAAACCATGTGTCGACTTGCACAATTTGGAACTCCATGTATCCTCCGTTCGTCACCAATTTTTCATCTGATTCGGTGATGGTTGAAATCTGGGATTCATCGGACATTTACTAAACCAGTCTCTTGACCTGATTATTATCATTAAAGATATTCCCCCAACATTACCCAACATATGTCTTTTCTAAGGTCGATAAAAAAAACATTAGGAACGTTTGGTTTTGAACCATGGGATGGAATGGAGTATGGTCATGACCCGTGCTAGACTAATAAATATATATATATATATATATATACACTTAGCCGGAATGATTAAGTATGCTTAGTTGATGCCAGTCCCACCAAGGTTTCATAGCTATGTAGATCTAGTGCTTTGTCCCTGGTTGTTATAGCCTTGAGGATCGCAGTGTCAACCGAGGATTCACAAACACACGGATTTCAACCAAACCGGGGGGAGAAAAAAACATCAATAAATGTATATAAATGTTGTATGCATAAATCTTTTGGAACCACCCCCAAATTTATCAATCAGGGTCGCGGTGCGCATATTCAGATTCTGACTACAGTCACATCGAGTGGACTTTTGATCCAGGACTTTTTGTTCAGATTTGACCATGGAACACTTGGTTTTATATATATATATATAATAGTATACAATAGTCGAAAATAAGATAAACTAAGTATATCCAACAATTTTATGATCGGTGATCAAAAACCGATCGAAATATCGAACAACCAGTTCGATTCAAAACCAACCACAAATAAGCTTTGACCTTACAACAGTATGACATACATATGTATATATAAATACATATAATCCTCATTAAACAAAAATCGAACTGTTCACTAGGTAGCCATACTGAAACTGAATCCCCCCAATATGTTGCAAATGAATCACTGAATCCCCATCTGATGGTTTCCCCTTTAAAAACCACCAGCCGAGAGGCTCTCCTACATGGATCCCAACGCCAGAGGCGAAGATTGCTGCACCTGACGCCAAGGGCGACCCAAAAAGTCTCGTCGCCGTTGACCAAAATCACCATGTTGGTGCCATTAGAGCTCCAATGTCACGATGATCGAACTAGTGATGCTAGTGGGGCTGCTGACAACTGAAAACCCACTGAAATAACCCGGGGGAGGCATTTTGCATAGGTAATGGTGATCACCTCCATAAATTAGGATGTGACCCCGTGACCCCTGTACTAAAATGGCATGGACCGAGGTATGGCACCAATTGAGTCTGTGTTCGGCTAACGTGTGGTTGTTATTTGTTAGCTTGGAGGGATGGGAACAGCTATTCTAGATTCTAGAGCGGAGAAAATATTTCCCCATTTCAAAGTTTAAGAGTACTTCATCTTACAAGCTGGGTAAACAGACAGAATCTTTGCACCAAGCCCGCTCCAACCTCAAAATAGCGGCTCTCCCAAGTTGTGCTAAATTGCCAGCGAAGAGAAGAGGTTGCTCTGATCCATGTGGCTTTGATGCCAGCAATTGCGTTTCTGTCCAAGTTTTATCTTAATAGGAACAGGATTTGACAAAAAAACATGATGAACACTAACGCCTGATGATGTATCTAATCACCTGCAACAATCTTAAGACCTAAGCAACCTTTTTTGTAGCTCAAAAAAATGGTTGGTTTATCACAGTCGTCAGCCGGTGGGCCCGTCTACGCCTGCTATGAGAAGAGAACCAAGTAGGAACACCAGGAGCAAGATCGTCAAACAGTCCTTGGCGGTTCTTCTAAGCTTGGGCTTGGTCAGTAGTAAAACATATTAAAAACATATATGATTTGAAATCAGTGTGATCAGTGATCAGTGTGACTTATCAAACCAATAAATATGCGGATAGAACCAGCGACCATCAAATGCAAATCCAATCAGCACCAAGTGGGGGTTCACCATCAAAATAACCACCAAACACAGAATTCAAACCCAAAATGTCTGACCAACCCTGAAAGTCACTTGGCTTTGTCGAAAAAAACATCGGGGAGGCCCAAATTTATGGCCATTAAAACCATGGGAGATTTCACATCAAGTGATGGAATGGGATACCAATTTTGAGAGAATCGAAAAATGGTGCGGATCATTTTCCAAATTCCCCATGTTCGAATGCTGAACATGATGCAACCGCTGCGTCTTGGGATATACCATGGACACTTCACATGATTTATCCACCACGAAATATGGGGATATCACTGGGACGTGAATGGGATCCAAGTGACACAGTTCGCTGCTCCCTTCTTGGTGCCGTGATCTTCCGCGATCACCGGCCCCTGTTCGATGCAAATGCCCGTGAAAGGGCTCTGAGAGTGACCTGACCGGGCTTCGAATACAGTAGATGGGTGGACGTTTGATTACCAGCGGGTATACTGTATTATACTGTAGCCATAGTTATAAACCATAAACCACAGTTAATATATCTATACCACAACGCCAGCTTGGTTGATCACTCAACTAAACCATGAGATTCACAGCTCAATACTGCCGGCAGTGCGATCAACGACCGACAGACAGATGGTTCCAGAGGATTTGTGTAATGGTATCCATGGAGCCATAGTAGTATCATCTATCATCATCAGCAGACATCAACGTGATACCAAGTATCAATCAAGTGTGTGTGTGTATGTGTGTATTTTTCAAATATAAACTAACAAAAAACAACACATACAAGAATCATGACAATGATAATTACTAGTAAAAATCAATAGATAATTACATTATGATCCATTATGTACACATAGACATCAAATTATATATGGTTGTTGATCAAAATTCCTTTATCCCGGAACGGCCATTCTTCGCGAATAAAATTTTTACTTTCGCGAAACTTTCGCGAACTCCATGTTTATCTTTCGCGGGGCCCATGTTGGCCAACAACACCTCTTATGAAGATTCGTTCACCACCTGCCAAATTACGCCAGAGAATCACGGATCACTTCTTGGTAGCCTTTTAAACATGCAGCTAGCATCACGGAATCCCTTCTCAGGACAGATTTGTTTTGCAAAGTTTACTGGCCCACCCCCTTCAACATGCACTTTGACTTTCGCCCGCTCTTTCGCATAACTTTCGCGGAACTTTCGCGAAAATATCCCTATTCACAGACCCCGGCCATCAGCAGGGGGTGCACTGAAGGAAAAGCAAAGACCAGGAGCCTTGGTGTTTGGCTCTCGCAAAGCCTCACTTTTGGAAACTTGGCTACTGCTACTCGCATTCTCTGGTGCCCTTCTCTTGCCGGACCCCGGGCGGCAGTGGGTGGCAGCCCTTTACATATAATGATTATAATACCCAACTTTCGCGAAACTTTCGCGAAAAAAATACTTTCGCGAACTCGAAAAAAAACTTTCGCGAGGGTTTCCAACATAACACGCACGGCTTTCGCAATTAAAACTCCTTACAAGGACCTTTAGATCGATCACCATATGTATATAGTCTGTAGGATGGGGATAGATGGGGATAGAGAACCATATGATAAAACCAGCAATTGCAGGGATACAGTCCTTTCAATGCGGGAAAATGACATGGGGATAACTTTTTTCAGGACAAAGGTTCTACGCTTCCCATCTCAAATAGAAAAATCATGCGTGTCGAAGTTCTCCCGAAATCATGTGATCAACTGAGCAACGTTCAAAACCCTCCCTCATCGCTGAAAAACCTGGTTGGTTACTACTAAGACTTCTAAATTTATTTATTTCCACATCAGGCACTTAATGAAGTTATAAGTATATTATAAGTTGCTATTATCTTGCTAATATCTTGTTTAAATTGTTTTTTATTTTTTTGTTTTAAGTTCCACTAATCGTTTAGGTGAACTTGTAACATAATAATGAACATATAAGTAAATATAGTGGAATATTATTCAAAAATAAGTTGAAATAAGGGAAAAGAAGCGAAAATAAGTAAAAATATGTTTTTTGTCAGTTTTCAACATTGATGGACATGGAAACAATACACACCACTCAAAAAAAAATGTAATAGAAATAAATGGAGAAAAGTAACTTACTGAGAAAATTTATAATGCTTAAACATACAGAAGGTAACAAATTTATTATTTTTAATGTATATACGTCAGAAAATTTTGAAAATGAGAAAATGTAGAAAATGAAGAAAATATTGAAAATGTTGAAAAGTCGGAAAAAACAAAAAAATCAGAAAATTTAGAAAATTTAAAAAAATTCAGAAGAGTCAGAAAATTAAAAAAAATCTAAAATTCAGAAAATTCAGAAAATTCAGAAAATTCAGAAAATTTAGAAAATTCAGAAAATTCAGAAAATTCAGAAATTTCAGATATATATATATAAATATTAAATGCAGAAAATTCAGAAAATTCAGAAAATTCAGAAAATTTAGAAAATTCAGAAAATTCAGAAAATTTAGAAAAAAACAGAAAATTCAGAAAATTCAGAAAATTTGAAAATTCAGAAAATTCAGACAATTAAAAAAAAATATGAAAATTCTGAAATTCAGAAAATTCAAAAATTTCAGAAAATCCAGAGAATTTAGGAAATTTAGATAATTCGGAAAAAATCGCAATATTCAGAAATATATATATATATACATAGATATATAAAATCGGAACCATGAAAATATCCAAACAAAAAACAGAAAACGCAACATTCTTATATTTTTTAATTCAAAGATGTTTTACAAAACCCTATGACAGAAACATCTTTCGTCTTTTATCAATTTTAAACAGTAAAAAATAATGAAAAATTAACCTAAATTAAGTGAAAATAAGTGAAAATAAGTAAAAATGACTTCTATGATAAGTTAAGATAACTACTAATATTTTCATTAAGTGCTTGATGTGAAAATAAATAAATTTAGAAGTCTTAGTAGGACTTCCCAGTTCATGGATTGTGATAATTCCCAATATATTGGATGGTATAACACCCTATATATACTGTGTATATATATATATATACATCAACCAAGACGGGTAGATCGCAGCCACTCAACGACAACGGGCCTAGCGTCATTGGCAGTCCGATGGTTGGAGCCACTTTGGATGGTTGCTTGTAGCGACCCCGTCTCCTGGTGGAGCCAACTGTGGAGAGGAAAAGCTACCCTCTGTCCTGTTTAGATGAGGGTAACAAATGGTAACAGCACAATTAGGTGTATATATAGGTGCGCCCCTGTTCTTATACAACGAAAAAAAAACAAAACATGCATGGCAACCCAATGCCAAGTTTGCCCCCGATGTCCCTTTTACAAGCAAACATACCGACAAGTCCTAACCTTACGGTTATTTGACAAAGTGTCGAATTGTGCCAATGAATAACGGACTCATTCAGACTCATGTATTATCAGTTGTATGAACCATCTATATATCTACAAGTATTTAAGGGACCTGTTCCTCTGCTTTAGAATTTGTCATCGTTGCCGTCTGCCTATCAAGTCCATTCACTATCGAGGAAACACAGTATGATATCAAATTAATGCTGATATATGCCACAAACTTCCTTCAGTTGAAAGAGCACTCTTTCGTCAACAAAAAAAACGGTCCCATGGTGACTAACTCCTTCTGTTCCAATGGTCACTGACTC